ACACGAGGAAGACATCATAGTAACTTTTGTGCAGTAGTGAGGTCGAATTTATTGCGTTTCCTTAAAGGTTCATGCGTAAACGCTGGCCTCAACTTTGATACCCTGTGAGGATGCGGCTTGCTTTTCGCCCAATGAAGTAACAAGAAGCGGACGTTTGGCAAACAAAATGCGTGTAAGGCTCCAGACGAACAAATTTAAGTTGTAGTTCACTGGTACTAGAAGGGATTATTGACATTGAGCTCAAAGATACACTCGTGGGGTGAGGTGACTAAACCACGACTTACTACGTTCGCATACGCACGCACAATATCCGGTGTTTCAGGAACCAAGGAAAGTGCCCCGGTCTTCGTTTTGTATCGCTCGAGAATGAGTGTATTGTACGTTCGTGAAAAGTCAGATAATCGAAAACGCAAGCAGCGCGTTCGGTCGCGGCGTGATAGCCTGATATGAAGCTGCTCAGTCGAAACCGAAACTGAGTGGCCAACTAGTTCCCAGAGTGCACTGCGTGGTATTTCGCCGCGATGGGGCGCGTCGGTTTTGGAAGAAGTCCATCAAGGGACCGGGAGCCATCCAGCGACCTGGATGCAAAGATGGGTTCAGCTTCCACGGGATTGGTGCCACCTGGATCTTGTCCCAAAGGGCCAGCAGCAGCTGGATAGCCTCGCATTGCGATGCGGGGATGGGGATGCCGAGCGAGCTCGGGGCATGCCGTCCACTCAGTGTGAGGGCCAGGTGCTCCCACTGACTGGCTAGGTGCATGTTGATGAGTTCCTGGAAGGTGTTGTTTACACTTAGCCGCCGGAGCTTGGCGTTCGACGCGTATGGCGGCACCCCCAGTGCCAGCTAGTACCCCTTGCGAATAATCACGTCCATCTTGCCTTTACCTCTCGCCAGCAGGTTGAGATACGGATTTGCGCAGGCGATGTGGCTCACGACGAGTGGTTGGGTCAGCCGGATCAGGTCCGACTCCTCGAGCCCGTGTCTGTGACTCGTTATCCTTCTCACCATGCGCATGACTTGCGTGGTTGTCTTGACGAGTCGGTCGACCGTGTACTTGGCTCCGCCGTCCCGCTGGAGGTGAAGGCCCCAGGATCCGAACCCGCTTCACCACCGGCACGGGGGTACCATCCTTTAACGTGAGGCGGATATCCGCCTTCTTCTTCTTCGGGGATTGGCTTGCCCGCGCGGAGGAGCAACAGCTGAGACTTATCGGGGGCGCGCTGGAGGTTGCCGGCCTCGAGGTAGTTCTGCACCGTCTCAATGACTTCTTCGAGGAAGTCTTGCCTCCCGCTGTCCGATCCCGACGTAGCCCAAATCGTCAGGTCGTCCACATAGAGTGGCATAGAGTGTATGCTTCATCTGGGGAATCCGTTCCAGTAGAGGAGGCGGCTTGCACATCGCCAGGTAACAAGGTGAGTGACAGGACCGAGCCTTGCCGATTGCCCTTGCTCGGTATCGGTATGGTGCTTGTGCGGATGGACTCGATTCCGATGGTGGCCATCCAGTTGCTCAGGAAGTCCCGCACATAATCATACATCCAGGGCCCGCACCCAGTTGAGGCCAAGTTCTTGAACACCAGCGTGTGACTAACGTTGTCAAAGGCGCCCTTTATATCCAGGGCCAGGACCGCCCGCGTTGTCGTACAGGAGATTCTGTCAAGGATATCCTCCTTGATCTGAAGCAGGACATCCTGCGTGGAGGTGTGACCAGAACCCGAAAATGGTGTTCATGGTGGCATTGAGTTCAATACAGGATGGTCCCCTCAAATATTGCTGTAAACAGCTCATCAGGGCATGGGCATTTAAAAAACTGAAATGGAGTGTCCAGGTCTGTGATGCTCGGCAGTATACCTGATAACTTCTATTTCTTTTGGATCCTTTTGAAGGGAGTATATTTTCCACTTCGGGGCACTTTTCTTGTTTCTGGCACTTACTACTGCAGGAACTGTTTCACCCTAACTTTCTTCTTTGCTTTCACAGCACTCATTTGATGTTAATGTGGAAGGAAATTGGCCGGATTCCACTCTTCGTTCCTACGTAAAATGTGCTGGCGTCCAATACCTGCCACAAAAAGGGTACTTAAGATTCCAAAAATAACTAAGAGTCTGTAAACATATGATGCCAGCATTTCTTTTTTTTTTTTATTTCCAATGAGCAACATTATATTATGCCAAAACTCTCCCTAAATGCACACTGCATTTCACAGCGCGCTAAACTCTGCCGGAAAAATCGGCGCCTGCACGCAAAGGGGCGTCGTTTCCTCAGCAGTGTATTTTACCTTGTGAAATTTTAAGGCGCTCCTTTCTTTTGCAGCTAGAACATCCTTAAAGATACTAAAAATGCGTTCGCCATGGACGACCGAGTCTTCCGCTGGCAAACGCTGTCGTTTGCATACGATACGCCTTGAAATTTTCACCCCATGGTCGATCAGGCGCCGATTTTTCCGGTTGCTCTCCCATACATTGAGCCACCCAGAAACACCGCGCGCCCCCGTAGAAAAAAAAAAAAAAGAATGGAACGGCATTGAGTGTTTTGTTTGCTTACCGACTTTGCGCGTGGACCGCGCCACGTTGCGCTGCCTGTTGCACCCGCGTTTTGGAACTAATTCAGTTGACAGTTCCCTCCGAAGATGAAGCCACTGAAGCCACGGCGGTAATCGGACTGGTAGGCTGCTCCCTTTCGAGCGGGCGGAAGAAGACTACGAAGAATTCGGCAGCGAACGGGCGGAAACTAGATTACGCACAGCTTCAGTAGTCGACGCTTTGTTTTCTCGATTGCGTTCGCGGCGTTCACCGTGGACTCGCGCACTCGGCCGTAGCCGAACAGCCGAACCGGACGGCTGCCGGCGCGCGTACCGACAGCGTCGCCATAGCAACCACGCCGCGAGTGTGGTTGCCAGACAGAATTCACACAATTTTTTTTTTCTCGTCACTCACGTTGAGTTACTAGAAGTTAGGCGCGTATTATTATAATACATTATGCTGTAAGAAGTTATTAAGGGATATGTGTACCTACCTAAGACAAATGCATAAAAAATATTATTGAAAAATAAAATTGGCGTAATCTTTTCATATCTTGATTAAGACCAGCGTGGTCACCGGGCTAACCGATGCGCGAAATAGGAGGGCATATATACCGCTCGGGGCACTGGTTGGTTTGTATAAGTAGGATGTATGTACTATTTGATGTGTATTGTGCAATTGATCAGTGCGTGTATGCCCGTGTGTATGTACAGCGCTGTGTGTATGTCCATGTTGTAAGTGAATGTAACCGCGCAGTGCGCAGCATAAAATCTGCTGTTTTCTTTTTTCAAATGTTGATAACTTTTTTTTTTCGTCGCTAGATGGGGGTTGTCGCCGCCCAATTTGAAAAGTGTGCCGGTTGATGGTCTATAACTATTAGAGGGCTGGATGCCATTAGTCCATCCGTCGTGTTGATCGCTCCGAGTTGTTCGGTTCCGCTGGTAACTGTGTCGTCGTGTTATGCTGCCTGATTGCAACAAAAGGAGGTTAGGCGGCTTCCCCAGCGCGTGTTCTAGGTGCTGAATGTCGCTGTTCACGCACAAGCGTTCATGAGTGGATAACGCACGTAACAGAGGTGAGCACAGGCAATAGTTAATCGAGAGCCACACGGAGCGCGAGTGCGATACCTCCTAGCCGCTGTCGACAGAGGGTGTCGGAGCGATTCGTTGTCAACTTGTCGTCCACGGGAAGTGGGCGTTTTGTTCAATAAAGCCAGCCTGTCAGTGTTTTGTAAAGCTATCCCTTCTTTATAAGCGCTTCTGATGCGATGAAAATGCGACCGGCATCGAGCAGGCCGAGCGAGACTTCGGCGACAGTCTTGGCTGTTCATTCTCCTGCGGTTTCGGCCTTACTCGTATTATTTGCGGTGTTGGCGCTTGGACATAGAGATGTTTGGAAAGTTTTTTGCGCCTACAGATGACACCAAACGAGCGTGCGAGCCGTATGCTCTTGCTCCGGCGAGAAGCCGCGTACGGCTCGCCAGGCTCGTATCGCCTGTCGCATACTGGCCGCCATATTGTTTTTAGGGTGTTAGCAGTTAACACGATTTTCACCACCTCCGGCGGCTAACACCCTTACACGAATAAAGGCGTTAGCCAGAGGACGAGCCATTTACACGAATAAGGGTGTAAAAATTTTAAGTGTGTACACATGAGGTGCTGTGTAAACTTAACACGCTACACCGTGTCTGCCTTCCGCAAAACACGTTTCGAGCGTGTTCTTTATGAAACATGGCGGCCAGCGGCCGAGAACAGGCGAGAGACGAGCCCAGCGAGCCGCGCGCCTTTCAGCCGAATTGAAGGCACACAGGGCGCGTTAGTTCTCGTTCGATGTCTTTTATACACAGTGAAGCCTCCAAGCGGCGGACGTAGCTACGTGCAAAGGTACGTACGCGCGTTGTCGGCGGTCGGCGGCGTCGGTAGTTTCAACAAGCCGCTAAACAAAAAGAAACAAAAAAACACACACACACAAAAAACGAATGCCGAACTTACATGAGTAAATAACTTGAGCAAACTATTTAGAATCGGGCGGTAACTTGCGCCACCTATCGAGATTTTTAGCAGCCTGTATTTAAAAAAAAAGACTCTGTTAACACTGAGAAGACCACGACTGCGCAGCAACCCTCAGACAACGCAGGCAACACCAGTACCACGCACTACACAGCACCGACATGTACACAAACACAACGACCCCCCACACCCGAACTACGCCCGACACCTCCTACTTGTTATCCATTTCTCCGCGCGGCCCATATAATCTTGACATTTGCGGGTGAGCTCTTTGGTCGCTGACCATTACAGATGTATAGAAGAATACACCAAACACGGTGCAATGGACATCCGTGTGTTAAAACTCTTTGCATTTAAAAAGTACGGAGGCAAAATCTACAATGTTAGTCCGTTGCAATAAATAAAGATATGTTAACAATAAATCTTAAACCGGTCATGAATGATGATGATGAATAAACCTTTATTTGTCGAGCATCAGGTGCAGATGTTAGGGCACCCGCCCGGTGGAGGGCATCCTTAGTCCGGGATACCCTGGCTACGGCTGGCTATCCGGGCCCTTGTCACCAAGTCTTGCTGGATCCCAGGGTCCGGGCTGGTCAGACAGGCCATCCACTGCTCGTAGGATGGGGTGGGTTTGGGAGTGAGGTCCGGGGTTCGTTGGCATTCCCATACCTGATGGTAAAGGTTGCCGGGAGAAGGACAAAAATTACAAGTGGCGGCGTATTGAGCGGGATAGATGGCGTGAAGAAGGGTGCTGTGGGGATATGTGTTGGTCTGCAGTCTTCGGAGGGTGGTGGCTTCATCTCTTGATAATCTTGGGTGCGGTGCCGGGTATTTTCTTCGGTCGTGACGGTAGTGGGCTAGTATGTCGGCATAGTTGATGAGCAGGTCGGTCGTGGGGGCAACAAGTGAGGTTGTTCCCTCTCGGGTAATGGCCCGGTGTGTATGCGCGCGGGCAGCGGCATGTGCCGCCTCATTACCTTCGAGGTGTTCGTGTCCGGGTACCCAGACTAGGAGTACTTCGGGGAGCCGGGGGATGGTCTTGAGGATGCGAAGCGCTGTTTTCGAGATGCGTCCCCGTAGGTAATTCCGACACGCTGCCTGAGGGTCTGTGAGCACTGTAATTATATCGCCGCCTGTCGTTGCGGCTAGGGCGATGGCAATTTCTTCGGCGGCTTCTGTATATGTTGTGCGGACTGTGAGTGCGGTCATTTCTTGCCCTGCTGCATTGGTTACACATACAGCATGGGCTGGCTTATGCGGATACGGGGACGCGTCGGTGTATCTTGCAGTTGGGCTATCGCCATATTTGGTGTTCATGGTTCGTGCCCTAGCGATGCGCCGAGCCTTATTGTAAACCGGATGCATGTTCTTCGGGATCTGGGCTACACGAATGGCTTTTCTTAGGTGCAGAGGTATTCGTTCTTTGTGGTCTTGCAAGGAGGGTGTCGCGTAGCCTAACTTTCTCAGTGTGGCTCGTCCGGTAGGTGTTAATTTAAGGCGTTCTAACTGGGAGATGTGATGTGCTTCTTGTAACTCTTCCCAGGTGTTGTGAATTCCTAGTAGCAACAAATTCTTCGTTAAAGTTTTGGGAGGTAGTCCTAAGGCGGTCTTGTATGCTTGGCGCAGGGCAATATTAAGTTTTGATTTTTCGGTTGTTTTGAGGGACAAATATGGCGTGCCATAGGCGACCCGGCTAATGAGTATGGCTTGTACAATCCGTAATGTGTCAAATTCTTGCATGCCAAATCTACGATTTGATACACGGTGTATTAGGTGCATGAGTTGGGAGAGTGTCCGTTGAAGCGGTGCAATGGTGTGGGAACCAGATCCGTTTTGGGGGATCGTGAGGCCAAGAACACGGAGGTGGGGAACGTTGGGGACAGGTTTTCCTGCTATAGTGATTTCCGGATCCGGGATGCTTCGTTTACATTGGCGCGCTGTCTTCGTGCAGAGAGTAAGGAGGGCGGATTTTTCGGGGGCACACTCAAGGCCCCTGTCGCTGAGATATTGTTGTGTTTCTTCGATGGCGCTTTGCATGGCGTCTTGTTGCTCACCCATGGATCCCGTAGGGGTCCATAGGGTGAGGTCATCTGCGTAGATTGCGTGCCTTAGATGTGGGATATTTTGTAAGAGTGGTGGAAGGTCCTTCATAGCGATGTTAAAAAGAAGCGGTGATATCACGGAGCCTTGAGGCCGGTCATGAAAAAGTTCAAATTTTTGTTATTTTCTTGCTTGACCAGTGTTATGAGCAGTCCGACTAGCTTGAATCAAATAGGAAAACAAATTGTTGGGATTTTGTCATTACGTATACAATAACAAATGAAAATGATCCTTGCGCAAAGCATTTTTTATATATTTTTGTAAAGGACATCCGGACATCCGCCCAACACTTCACTTCCGCTAGTTGCAGTACGGGAGCAGACGTCTTCACTTTTGGGGCGTTTTGATCCAGTTTGTTGTCGTATGTAGTGTCGGTGCCGAGTGGGGCGGTGGGGCTTGGGAGTTTGTGACCGGTGTTATTCGTGAACACTGGTGTGGGGCGCTGATGCGTCTTTTTTTATACTGCCACCACCCCGAACTTTGAAAATACACGGGCCCGTAGCACAGCATTATGCCGAATCGCGAGCTCCTTCTCTGTTGACGTCGCTTTCCTGGTACCACTCGTGGATACTGCAAGCGTTTAAACAGTGTGCACCGTCTCGCCTACATCCCCGGTGACGTACTCGACCTGTTGAAACTTATTGCTTCCGTCATCTTGGAGTACGCAAGGCAGTTATCTCGTTAGTCTGGTTTCGGGTATAAAAGCAAGGCTAAACGCTCGTAGTTCCCGCGCTCAGTACACGTTGGACATCTTCCACACTTTGACACCGGATAACTGAATGAACGACGATTTACATTCACTGCCGAGGTTACTCTCGCCGCTTCCTCACCGTTGAGCAGCAGGATGAGCTGGCGACAAGCCGCGGATGAGAGGCTTGAGCATCAACAGCCCAAGCGCACTCGGTGCCGATGCGGGCGACGCGGCTTTGTGTCAACCGGGAGGCCAGCACAAACCGTGACCGTTCCAGCTCTTCGTCATGACACGGTGTTGCAGAGAGCAGGGTAAAATACAGCTACACGGATCACCGAAGCAAACGCACTGCTATCTTAAATCTTGGCTTGTGATTGCGCCTTTGTAGTAGATCATCTTATTCGTTTTGCTGGAGAGACGCAAACGACGGGCATAACAAAATCGCTTGCATATTTCCGCATATCTCACAAAAAGCATTTACACCGTCACCTTGCGAAAAGCGCGAAACACGGAGTCCGCACCGTCCTAAGCTTCCCGTTTTTTACCTGCTTTAGCGCAGTTTGTACCTGCTAATAGATATGCCTACTGAAACTAAAGTTGGGAAAGCTTGCTCGCTCTCCAATTTCTCGACTCTCAAAAAACTGTACCATAAAAAATGCACCAACACCTCTTCCCAAAATAAAGAAAAAGCACTACGTTCACTACGTAAAAAATGGTCTCAGTACATGCATCTGTGGGCAGGTAGGAAACCTTGCCCTAATTTATTCACGCCGCATGATTGGCGCAACAAACCCGTTGCAGGACCGAATCATCTACTCGAGCGGTGTGCATCGCTGTGCAAACGCAGTCCAACACGAAGCATAAAAAACGGCAGATTTAAGACAACAATCCGGAGTCCATTATTCAATTAAAACGGGGCAATTTTGCTGAAACGTTCTTACTCATGGTATGTGTCGGGATACTTCCACAGTTTGAAACGGAACGAAGGAAGATTTACTTTTAAAAGCGCTCGCTGCGTCCTCCCGGACCAGCTAGACCGGATCAGCTGACGACGACGGGACTGTACCCGTTGAACCTCCACCCCGCAACAAACAATTTGCGCTGCGTGTTAAAAGCGCGGTTCAAACAGACCCGGAATACAAAGCACCGCACCACACACGACTAACGTTTCAGCTCTTTTTCGCATCGCCATGTTGCACCAAACAGAACGAGATCGCCGAAGTCAACGCCGCGCTGTCGTTAGTGAACCTTGGCTTGTGGTTGCGCACTCGTGGACCCTGTGACTCCCTTCGCTTTCAAAGCACACACGACGATTACGAATGGTACTTTCCGTCTTCCGGGAACATCACAGGGTCACTTCTCCGGTCACGTCTTCACTATGTGCTCGCAAACTGCGAAGCTCTATGCGAAGCTTCTCGCGTCCCGTAAAACCAAAACAATAGGCGCCATGCGTACTTGCCAGATTTTCTCCGGTCAAACAAAAACAACGAAAGCCAACCGGATCTTGCTTCCAGCGTACATCGGCGTTGCGCTTGCGCCGTGGCCAGATCGCTTGCAGTTGAAGTGGTTGAAGGTTGATGGTTGAAGCAAAAACGAAACCAACTGCAATGTCACGTGTTCACATCGAGGACACGCGTTTTATATCCATTTTAACTGTTTGGAACGAATAATTAGACCCATGACTTTATTTGTGGTGTGTAAGAAACTATTATCAAGACCCCTAAACTAAATACAAACATGGGCGACATGAGGGAAGCCGCATTGCCATCGACCAGAAAATGGCGGCGAGCACGGTAAGCGCGGGTTTCGCCAACGTCCTGCGACATGGCGCAATTGCTTTTAGTGCATATCTGTCTCCAAGGCATGTTTGTTTCCGCGGCATTTGTCGACGGACCTTTCTAAGTGTGTCCCAAAGCATTCCGGTGCTTCGATAGCCGGCAATGCCGCGATCGTCGCCGGGGCCGATGCGTGTTATCAAGGTCGGCTACACGGTTATGCGTGTATGACCGAACCAAAACACGTTTCTTACAACCTCGCTTGATTTCTGAACGAATTATCCGTTACTCATCGTGTAAACTTATGGCAATTTGTGTAAATGGCGTGTTTTTCACCCCAAATATTCGTCAAATACACGGGACTTGTTAACAGTGCACAACCGCTATGAATAGCAGTGTAACAAGCTTGGTGGCTCAAACATTGCCTCTCCACCGCGAATATAGATATAAATATTTAAATGTAATTTGCACCACCATTCTTACTTTTCTACTACTTTCTGAAAAAGATGGTAGTAGTAGCGATTACACACGGAAAAAATTCAGCTAAAGCTCCTAGAACTTGTAGTTTCTAAAGACAAACCAGGTTTATTGGTTAAGTAAATAACAAAGGACGAGCAACGCAGGTACTGTGTGAATTAGTAGAATACTGAACTTGAGCCCAATACCCAAACACAGCACAAATATATATATATATATGGTAAAATACACGGAACCAAAATATCATCTCGCCTGTGGCATTGGGCACACATGCCGCTGTGTAAGGTACACTTTGTACAGCTGCAGCTTTGAAGGAAACAAAATGGAGCAACATGTTTTTGATTAATAGACACAAGTGTGGTGGTAAAAGAGAAAAACTATCACTCTGGATTTCAGAAAAAATAGATTGTTTTTTAATGGCCCTTTGAAATTTCCTAACTTTGCACGTGAGTGCAAGGATTGAGCGCCATAAAAATTCGTTCTTGAAATAAAGCAATGATTCATATATAATTAGAAAGAAAAAGAAAAGTCCAATTTGGGGGTTTTACGTGTCAAACCTACGACGGGCATCTGGCACGCCCCAGCGGAGGACTGAGGATTAATTTCGACCACCTGGGGATCTTATGACGTGCAACCGAAAGCTCGGTTACACGGCGCCTTCTCCGCAATAAGCCTCCGTCATATTGCGGGCACCTCGGTCGGGATTCGAACCATAATTAGAAACAAATACGAATATATGACGAAGTTTAATGTTGTAGCTATTCAATTTCTTTAGATAACGGCTCAGAAATATTGTGACGAAACGTCAAACGCGCCGAGTTCACAGATTTTTGACGCGAGACACATAACCTCATGAATGCTGTAAATATTTGCATCAATACCTCCCATGATCTGCCGTAAGTAAACAATATTCGAGAGTTCTTATAGTTGTATGTTGCGGAGTAGGTATCGTCAAACATGGCAAGAACGAAAACTTAAAAAATAGAATATGCCGTTCTGCCGCACTCATTTTGTTTTTCTCTTAAAATATTTTTTTAATTTTTTTTGTAAAGTACGTGTGGATCCGTCTCTATGATCTTATTTGAACAGAGCCTACAGTTAGTAATTTCAAGAAAAAAATTCCGAGTACACCCAAGCACTTATCACTTGCGAATGCGAAGGCATTAATGCCCAATTAAACGTTGCCGTGTATTCGGAGACTTGACAAAGATGGTGGATTTCACAGCCTGCGTCTTCGCTTACTTTGCTGTGTTCTTTCGCTCCCTTCTTTCGTCCGCGGTGTAATCGCGTGAACCGCCACGTTTCGTTACTGCCGAGGTTGGGGCCGCCGACGATATAGATGCTTCCGGCGCCGCCATGTTTCTCGACGCCGAGAGGAGCAGAAGCGACCGCAGCGCCGACAAAGAGTGCGGCGGTGCACCGCGCAAACTGCACTGGCTCGCCATGGCTCGCCAGTGACTGCTGCGCCACTAAGTAAGGCAGCGGCGCGAGTGCGAAGCTCGGCGCGGCACCGGGAATGCGAAGCTTGGCGCCGCGCGTGCTGACATCACGTGTCCTCTCATCATTATCATTGCCCTAGCCAACATCTCCTAGATAGCTTCAAAGCCTGCGCGTTACGTCACATGACGTCACGTCCGGGGGTCCCGCACTGACGCCGATTGGATGCGTTTGCCGCGTCAGCGTTTGTGTGGGGCTATGATAGGAAACGAGCCCCACGCGAACGCTGACGCGGCACTCGCATCCAATCAGCGCCCGCGCCGAACACCCGGACGTGACGTCATGTGACGTTACGCGCAGGCTTTGTTGTCTAGGAGGTGTTGCCCTAGTTGCGCGTACCCGTTGACGG